AAATAATTACCACTACTATGGTTCCATGTTCCTTGCATAATTATAGTATATGATATGAGTAATTATTTAGGCCCCTACATTAGCGAAGCAGGTTGAAGATCAACGAAGAGAGCTGCGTGAGCAGGAGGAGGATGCGAGTAGAAGGATGGCCATCCATGAAACACCAGGTAGCTGTTTCATGTTGTTGGTTTACCTCCTCACCATGTCTTGGAATTTGAAAACAGCTCTGGGAAACTCCCAGATTTCTGAACATAGCCTCAGTAGCTTCCATTTCCTTTTCCATTATCCCAACACAACCCTAAACCCTAAACCCTATGTAGCAGTTTCCATTTTATTTTCCATTATCCCTATATACACCGCTTTTCTCGACATTTTGCATCTCACGTCGCTGCCGGTGCGAGGAGGTTCGCCGACGGCTGGAACTGGAGCCATGGCCTGAGGTTGCTCGGGGGGATAGGTGGACCCAAAAGCGGGGACATGTCATGTCAGCCATAGCCTAAACTCCTTTATGGGGGTTATATAGGGAATTGTATAGGGGCTTACTATAGGGCTTATGAGGGGGATGTTAGGAGTTTAGACTATCGCTCATGTAGTCAGGTGGTCAAGGATGCGCATGGAATTTGAGCGGCGCGCGAAAGAAAGGGCCCGTGAGGCCGACAAACATGTCCTTGATCTTTGAACCAGCAGTCTGCTCAGGCATTGTCGGTTCAGTTGCAGTGCATCATGAGTTTAATGCTGGTTGGTGTTGATGATGTTGTGCAGAACCGACTGCTAGGATCTCGAGCATGTCGCCAAGGACGTCGTGGACCAAACAGAAGCTCAGGCAATCTGCTTTTATGGTGAATCCATCTTTATCCCCTTGATTGGGGGTGGGACTTGTCTTGCTCGCACTAAGGTGCCTATCAGAATCAATCGGTGGTGGGATATAGACTTAGACAAGATTGGCAATTAAGGTCGAGCTGCCATAGGCTTGAAAGCTTTAATTGGACCGGCCTCCATCGCATTGCAGGGGCATGCAGGGACAGGCCTTTTCAATACAATGTAAAAGCTGACTATAAGCAGATTCTGCACGCATTTCGATGGATCACGCTTCTTCATGGATTCCAATATCAGGGCAGGACAAGCATGTACGTGCAGTTTTCTATCATGCCAGTACTTTAGAGTCTGTGCATTTCTCCCTCACCACGTGCAACGGGCGCTGCCAGGTCGAGCATCAGACCGGAGCCAAACGTGGAAGGCGCTGCAGCATAATGTGAGGAGGACGCGGCGCGCGCAACCTGTATCCACGCGCCGCGAAACGACGCTTCCACGTCTTTGTCACGACTGCTTGGATAACCTGCCTTCCCGGGATACAACGGTGCCGTTCGAGGATGTCCAGATCTCTGGAGATGCCTGGGCACGGTCAAAGACGCTGCTTACCAACACAGTCAAAGCTTGACAGTCTGGCCCTGACTGAGCACTGTTGAGATCATGGCTCTCAAAGACTGCAGACGCCATCAGACACCCGTTAAGCCGTTAGTCCTGTGCGAAAATTCTCTGCCCCGACTAGTACGACGCTGTTTTCCCGCGCGACTACAGGACTCTTGTCCGACGTCAACAAGCTACTCCGTGCATTGTGGGAAGGCTTGACCCTGGACCATGGGGCCCAGAAATCTTGAGACATCCAGGCTGGCCTTCTTGGCCTGGCGGAAGTTTGAACGCGGAAAATGCGGCACGCACATTGAAGGGTGCAAACATGGCAAGTTGCAACACGGGGCACTGGGCACGGTTTCAGGTGTCGTGGGCGACGTCTGACAGGAACATGATGCAGTTTGGGGATCGCATCAGAATTCCTTTGTACTTTGCAGCAGTGCCACAACAGGGTTTTCAACCACTTGTAGCGCCTTTCAAGCTGCCTCTGTTCCTATGGCCGCTGGAGCTTCAGCTGGTCTAGCAACTCATGCAATTCTAACCGGAGAGCCAGCTCTTCCACTCCATATCATTCAAGCCTGCAACCAGTACACCAAGGCTAATCATCAAAGTCATTTTCATTCGCAACGGTGGCCAACAACGCATGCTTGTAAGATAGTTGTGCGATGGCCATGTGGCTACCCACGCCATGGCTATTCTGCACAAGGCACGCTGGGTTCAAACCTGAATGGACGTGGGGTGCCTTCACCGAATCTCCAAGCATCGCCAGGCTCCAGCCATCAGCATGCCCCTTCCGTTGCAGTGACATGCTCAGGTGAGTCAGCCATGGCTGCAGAAGAGTTACAGCTGAGCTCATCCAAAGCTGATGAAGCTCTGGCCACGGAAGCGGCTCCCTCTCCACCAGAGCAGGCTGGGGAACTTTCCCAGAATCTTGATGCTGGGTGCATGGACACGGGTGCCTCCTTCAAGTAGCTAAGTAGCGCTCTTAAAGGATTCAGGCACATGACGACACGCGGATTCCTGCCAGGGACCCACATTCTATATGTCCGAAGACATTTGACAAACAAGCTTCGAATCACAGAAAAGTGCGCTCACCCCCCAGAATGTATACAGGGTGCGAAGCATGCGCAGCGGTGTGTGAAAGTGTGCACTGTTGGGACCACGTGATTTCTAGAGCATTGCCAGTTGTGGACTCGGTTTTCTGGAAATGGCTTGTCATGTGTGTTTCAGACTGCAGGGGGCCAGCGACTCGGCAGGCTGGCAACCCTGTAGGATCTGTAGGACGCAAGTTCGCAGCATAGATCGATGGCGCCACTTTTGCTGTCCACCACACCTACAGCCATGTCCTATGGCAAAGACTCAAGGTAGGGGTGGTCTGCAGCGAGCATTTTTACGAAGTACTGGGGCGATGAGATTCCATGTGCAGTCAAGCATTAGCTTCCATGTGTCCTCTTGGTGTCAGGTGCCGATCCACCGGGAGCGGAAGACGCCGCAGCTTGCTTTCAAGCTAAGTTCTGGCCTCTATTCCCGACACTTCCCGACAGTCTGTGCTCTACTCCCGGGTCAGAACTTAGCTGTCCCACGACTGAAGGGTAGTTGCCTCTGGGATCCTCTGGGCATTGCTTTCCTAGTAACATGTTCCCTAAGCTCTGGAAAGGCCTGCGGGTTTCGATCAGCAAGCATGCACACGAAGAGCAAGGCCACTGAGATGCGCCCGCTAAAGTACGAGCGAATCTAGGCCACACTTCTAACTTCTAACATTCGTAAGACATTGTCTCCTGCAACCTACGACATGCCCAGACTAGCTGGTAGTAGATGCTGCCTGCGATGTGCACCACTCTCTCAGGCAGAGAAGCAAGTTCGCCAGCTGCAGGAGACACTCGGCGGCTATTCTCCAAGAGACTTCCAATCTGAAGCCTTGGAAACCTGCAAAACACTGCCTGATGCAATGAGATACAGGCAGCAGTGGCTGCAGCAGCGGATGCGGCAGAGGCGGCGCCTGGAGAATGGCGAAACCGAGGTCGAGGACGAAGAGCTGCGGATTGCGCCTGCCCCCATTCCCCTTTTGGAAAGCTGCCTCAAAGGAGGAAGTGCACGGACAGGTAGCTGGTCTGCAAGGAAATGTGTAGAAGTTTGATTGGGCGGGAAGCCATATCAAGTTGTTTCCGAGCAGAGGATAACCTGGTGCCCCCTCCGCAGTTTCCGCTGCCTGTGCTCCGATTGCACTTCATTCATGTCAGACGCTGGCTGGCCATCGATGGCATGCAAGCCTACGCTTGTTGGCAGCGGGTGCTTGCGTGAAAGGACCCGGGGCTTGCGGCAGATGCGAGCACAGGCAGGTCTTTGGGTGTACTCTTGCTGCGCCGCCCAAGCAGGGTTTGTAAGATGGTTACAGTGACCTCTAAAACGGAGAACTTGCAGGCTCAGGCCTGTTGCACGACCAGCCTGCCAGAATGGACCCGCACGATGCGCAGGCTTGCACTGGGTCAGAGATCTCAGGCATGGTGTGTGCTGGTACACGTAATGATTCCCTGCAAGGTTTGGGCTGACTTCCGCCTCACGTTCAAGCAGTTGTGCACCCAACTTCTCGCATCGGCTTCGCCATGCACATCCACACCCTGCTAAGGTACATGCTGCGAGTTGCGGAGGAGGCCTTGCAGCAGGGACTGCCTCAGGCGTGGCCCGCATGTAATGCAGAAGCAGCACCTTTGCACGACTTTAAGAGCGAGGACTGGGTCCATCTGTACGCAAATCATGCATACCGATTTTTTGCCTAGAATCCCAACTTGTGAAAGAGAGTAAAATGCGAGCAGCAGCACGCTGCTAGCCAGGTGGACCTCCGCCGCATGAGGTTCTCTGCCAATGCGCTGGGGGGCTTGGTCAGTGGCCAGGCATATGTTGCCCATTCCTGGGCCCTTTCATGTCCAAATTGGAGAGGAGAGTGGCGCATTGAATGCATATGTTCGATATCAAGCTGACATGGTTGGCACATGTAATGCACGGCAGGTCTGCGTAAACTTCTTGAACAACTGCTGCCGGCGTGGGCCAGGGCTTCAGAGATGGCTTGTAGGACTTGATGAGACCCGGACAGCAGCGGTTGCCAGATTGCTAGGCTGCGTTGCATTGATCGTCACCCTCCTCGAAGTCAGTGGGAAAGGCCTCGATGCCAACCAGCATTTTGACATCCGAGTTTGAGACTACAGACCGCTTTTCAACAGAGGTGTCGAACAGAGCTGAAGCGGAAAAACTGCCCAATGGGGGAACAGTGCTTCCTGCCGTCGTCTGAGCCTGAGGAATTCTCAACATATCTTAGCCCTGGCGCTTTCTGAGTTGCCTGGGTTAGGCGCAGTGCATGTGCTTCAGGTGCCTGTACTTCCACCCGAAGGGATAGTTGAAGTTCGATCACCCAGGACGAAAAAGAGGGGGGTTGCTGGAAAGCCCACGGCCTGCATGTTTGGTAGCATGAAAAAATGTCAGTATTGCAACCTTCCTTAGAGGCAAGGTACTCATTCCCAATGTTGGCGCCATGATCAACGTATATCAACATCTTTGCTTGCAGCACTGACCGCTTGCTCATGGCTGTTTTGAAGCTTCTCATGCTAACTGGCTATTGCCCCCCTTCGCCTGATGTTCTACATTTCCAGCTGGGGTGATTGTACATTTCCAGGGCCCCGAAATGCACAATAAGCGTAGGGCCTCCAAAACCTGTTCGGGCCATGGGTTGCCTGTACCAGTGGCCAAGTGTGCAGCATACGCAGTTTGGCGGTTATGAGCTCCAGAATGGGGATCGCCTCCTCGACTGACATGGATAGTCAGCAGGGCACCAGCACATTGTATAAATTCCTCCAGAGGCCGAGAGGCCGTCGAAATCAACGCCAGCTGTCCCTGTGGAGATGCTGTTGTTGTAGAAAGCGGGAATGAAAGATGCGTTCTCAGGTAGGCAAGAGGGGCTGATGCCAGACGATTTCCAAGCTGATGCTGGCAACCTCACTGTGATTGGTCGATTCCTGGATCACGTGAAGACCTGCATCTCCAGTCAGGTGTGTCAATTTGATGCGATGTCCTGGACCAATCTCTGCTGATCAGCGACCAGATCACAGTGCTGGTACCTGTGCAGCGGGCTTCGTGCTTCCACGGATGCCCAGCACTGCCTTGTCCACTGAGCACTCCAACTTTGGGAGCTCAGTCTCTTGGGGCCCTCCGCGGGCTGCAGCACCTGGAGGTAAGTATCGGCTATGCTGGTGCGCAGCCCCGTCCAAGTGCAGTTCCCCTACAGAATATGTGGTTAACAGCGGTGAGCTGCGCATGATCGGTCCGAATCTGTATCAGCTGCGGCAATGCTATCCTGGTGGTGTGTGCAGCTCGGACAACTTCGTTGCCTATGGGCTTCAGGGTAGTCCGAAATTGTCTTGGAACTTTGTGGGCTGGGATCCGGAGTATCTGGCTTTCCAAATGGTGCAATGTCAAATTTGGCTGTCAGAGATGGCAATCTAGTTGGGGAGATGGGTCAAGCAGCATCAATTACTATTCCCTGAACACTTCAACTCCCGGTCGCTTCTACCGCTTGTACTGGTGCCCGGCGGCTGGTGGTTTGGAGGCATGTTCCAGCAGCCAAGACTTTAGGGTCGATGCTGGTGCCCTGATTGTTAAGGGCCCGTTCGCTCAAGTGAACACCGCTTGTGCTGCCGGCCAGAGCTGGCTTTTTGTAGCCACCGCACACTTAATTTTCCCTAACCCCTGAACCCTAAACCCTCTGCCACGGATGTTTCCGGGAAGGCCGACAGCGCCGGAGCTCGCGACGAGGCAAAGGCTTGCACCATGCAGTCGATAGACAAAAGCCTGCATCCACTTAAGGGTCCTGAACTACGGGAATCAAGGTCAATGGCGTAAGGGTGTTTATTACTGTTTTGGTGAGTGAAGATTCTCTTAACATGCTCTCAGTGTAGGACTGGCACCCTAAACTCTAAACCCTAGATCTTTGACCTCCCCTCAAGTCTTGGAACGCACACAAACAGTTTCAGACATTCGCAAGTGAACGTCTCCTGCTGAAGGAGCTGTCAACATGTCGCCGGGAGCTTCTCGCAGCCCAGCTGCGGCTGCAGGACCTGGAAGTTCACGTAGCCGAGTCAAAGTACATATACGTCATGATGATGATTATCATATGTTATCATGATTGGTGCTACCTCTCAACTTGTCGGGAGCCCTCTGGCAGGCAGCAGGGCTCCTGTCAGTTTGCTTTGCCTCGCATGGTGCCCTGGACCACGCCTGCCACCCGCAAAGCCATTTGTGCTTCGACTCAGCATTTCCTTGGGCTGCCAACGCCCATCCGAGCCCATCCGAGCATGCCGGCAATGGAGGATGTGCAGCTGGAGGAGAAGGTCCAGGCCGTGGAGGAGGGCGAGGAGGAGGAGGAGGACATCAAGGATCCCTGGGCCAAGATGATCCCAAGCTGCAGGGTATCTGAGTGGGGGGGAGCGGTGATCTAAGCTCTTGAGCTCCTGCTAAGGACTTTCGGAGACCAAGAGCGGCAGGAGCGTTTGAAAGCTGTTGATGCCGTGGTTGCGAAGAAGCTGAATGAGGTCGTAGACCCCGATGGCAGCTAGTATGCAAACAGCTGACTGCTGGTAGCCGAAAGAGTGTACATAGAGGAGAACATGAATCTCCTGAGCATATGGTGCGTAGTATTCCGGAGGCATGCAAGCAATGATTTTGAGGTGTCTGGAAATCTCTCCAGAAGACTTTGCTCGAGGCCGAAAAGGGGGAGACCGAGGTGCTCAGCCTCGAGTGTGCCTGGGTTGCCAGCCGAAGCCGGCAGTGTCATGCGTCTTGAAAGTTTGTGGGAGTGAAATGTAAACGGGATGCAAGAGTATAGCTGCGCTGTATCATTTACATCATTTACCATACATCATCCTACTGTTGATTCTGTATAGGAACATCTGGTCCAGGTGTGGCCTTCGAGGGTATGCCTCAGTGGGACAAGTCGATTGATCTCACCTGGGGCAAAGGGATGCTGCTGCTGAGCCAGTTCAACGATACCAAGAAGCAGCGCCTGCATTTCATCATGCAGGAGAGCATGGCAAGGTTCATGGGCGTTGAAGAAAGCTCCGCGGCAACATCCAAGAGCATGCTGGCCTCCAGTGGAGTCTTCTCCGCGAAAGGCTCATACACAGCCTCACGTGGGCTCCGCTACCTGAGCATTCCCCTGGACGTTGAAGCCCACATCTTCGGGGTCAGCGCTGAGATGGCCGATGTCGCCACGTTGTGGAGCCGCTTTGGAGGGGGCGGTGGCTGGAACTGGTCGTGCTGTGCTTGGCTCCGATGCTGCAAACTCAGGCTCCGAGGCTGACACTGAGCTTCGTGTGCTTAGCTGTTCCACCCTATGAACCCTGAACTCCTGAGGTGCTGCAAGTGCCGCTGCAAGTGCCCGGGGATCAAGATCCCCGATCCCAAAAGGACGGATGTGCAGGAGACAGATGTGTGGCAAGGCGGCATGGAGCAGCGCCCGCGATTCACCGAGACCCTCTCGACAGTCACCAAAGAGCAGGTCGACATTTCCTATAAGTTCTCAGGCAGGGAAAACAAGGGCAAGGAGACTCGGGAGATGAGCGTGAGCCAGATGCGTACGATCAAGATCGTTTACCAGCTTCCTGCCCAGAAGCCGCGGCTTTGCACGGCATGGCTGGAGCCTTCACAAGATGTGAAGTTCCGTGGTTGAAGCAGTGATGATGGGATGTTGGTTGTTTTTTTGTAGCAAAGTCTGGAAGCTTTTTGATTTCCTGCATGGCAGCCGGGTGCAAGGTCTGGTCTCAAGTTCGTACACAACATACGTGTGAGCTCCACTAAGACCACTGACAACGAGGGGCCTCCATTGAGTTCTCCTGGCTGCCTTTCTGGTTGACGTCTTGGAAGAACAGCTTTGCATTTCCCGAGAAGAACACTGTGGCGACAGGCAAAGCGGCGGCATCCATGAAGATTGCGACGAAAACGAGCCTGCTGAGTCGGCGACAGAAAATTATCATTTGTGTTATCCTCCTGGGGATCATCGTCTTAATTGTGTACCTTATTGCTTCAAGCCAGCGGTCTTCAAGCTAGTGAAGTGCTGAGATCTGAAGGGTCCTGCAGCTTTGCCAACGAATTGCTGCAGAGAATTCGAACAAAGTGTGTGTGTGTGTGTGCGCGCGCATTTCTCAAGTGTGTGTGCGAATTTGCATGTGTGCACGTGCCAATGCGTCTTGCCAATAATATGCCAACGGCGCTTCAGCTCCACGAGACAGACTTCCAGGATACCTCCCATGCCTGGGAGATGCAGACAGACTGATGGAGAGCATGAAAGCTTGATGCATATCCGGGATGTCTGCGTACTGGGCTAATTAATTCAAAAGTTCGACTTCTCGACTGTGTATGACTGCAAACCGGACAGAATGGGCGAGCTTCTGCGGCTCCCTTCCTACTCGTGTGCATCTTTCACAGTCTCAAGTGTTTTTTTCACCAGCTTGCACCCTTGGACCATTGCAGATATGCAAACATATCCGCAGAAGCGATGCCGTCAATGTCCGGTTCCCTTGGGTTTTGACAACCTGCAAGGTCAACATGCTTGTGTATCCATTCTGCACTGAAGCGACACCTCTCGATGCGATGTGGAAAATTTGGAGCGTGCAGCGCCGGGAGCGCCTGTCGCCACAACACAACCCTCTTGCTGCGTCATGCCAGCCCTAGACCCTAAGCCTTACAACATAAGCCTCAAACCCCAAACCCTAAACCTGTATTTTTCTTTATATCCTGCAGGAGCTGGAGCTGGAAGCGAAAGAGGCAGTCTGCAGTCCGGGAAGTTTCGGAGCTTCCGTTTAAGGATTTCAAGGTACATATTTCCTTATAGATATGGCTACCGCTCAGTATGAA